TCCGCTGAAGTAAAGTCAAGAGACAACTAAGGTCAAGTCAACACAGGGATGACCAAGGTTAGGCTGCCATTTTGATTTTAGAGTCCGCTCATCCTGTATGCCTTTCCTGTCCCATGTATGCCTCTAGTGCCTCCCCTTCTTATTGCCTGTATACCCCTAGCTCATCCCCACCCTGTCACACGTATGACTATTGTAAGACCCCTTCCTGTTATGCATGTGGTATCAGGGGGGATTGTATGCCCCCTGAGTGTATATAAGCCTTGGTTGGAAATATATTCTTCCTCTCTGTGCAGATCAAAAAGAGTACCACTTTGAGGACTGAGGTGCACCTGATACAAGCCATGGCATTTTCAATCACTTCATACGCTTCTGAGAGTTGGATGTTGAATAAGGGAGACCAAAAAAGAAAAATCAATGTATTTGAATTATGGTACTTATGAAGAATATTAATAGTATCATAGACTTCCAAAAGAATAAAGAGATCTGACTTGGAGCAATTGCAGCCAGAATGTTCCTTAGCAACAAGAATGGCGAGATTTGTCTAACATACTTTGGACAGGTTATTAGGAGAGTCCACCCCTAAGGAGAAGGATATGATGCTCCGTAAAATAGAAAGAAAGTGAAAAAGAAGACCCTGGAAAGAGGGCTTACACAGTCACTTCAATAATGGGCTCCAACAACACAGTTATGAGGCTAGTGCAGAAGTGTGCTGTGTAATAGGTTTTATGTGATAGTTTGCACTTGTAGAAGGGTGTGATCCAATTTCACAACCAGGCAACAGCCTGATGATGCATCCTTGGTAGGTGGGCAGGGCAGTGCCCTTTTATAAGAGAAACCGAGAACATTTGCTTCCTCTCTTGCCCTTCACCTTCATCCTTACTTGGATGCTGTGGCCACCTTCAGGGATGCCCCCTTGTGGGACTGCCCAACACTGAGAACTGTCTGTCCCTGCCATGTTTCCACGAGACCTTGGATCCAAGTGACTGCACCCAATGGCTTGTGAACCCCATGTATCTTGGTTTCGTCTTTCTGAGTTGTCCTTGGTCTGAGACTGTGTGACTCTGGAGAGGGTCCCAGTTAACATGAGATGAATTGACTGGGTTGGGATGCTATCTTGATATAAGATTAGTTCTTGATACAAATTCTTTCTTATCCATATATGAGTGTCATTTGTTTGTTTCTCTAGACAATTCAAACTAATGCAAATGGTATTGTACACAGGGTTTGTACAGAGGGTTTCTATGAGTCAGAACCTCGTATAGGGTACATTACAACAACAACCTATCAACAGTAATGGGTATGGCACATGGTGGTGTTTTTCTATTGTGCATGGGTCTATTATGAGTTGGAGCTGACTTGATGGAGCCTAACCACAACAATAGTGAATTTAAGATATATATTTATGTGTATATCTCATACTATGCCCCATGGACAAATAAGATGAAATCTCTCAATTTGTGTAATATGGTGTTTGATAACAAAATTAACATTTAATCTTATTATAAGAGACTGAGAAAAACAATGAGACTTCTTTCTCGGGTGAGACAAGCAATTATTGAAAGTTTTTAAAATAAGTGTCTATATTTTCCAGAGACATTAAAATATAATTGTTATATGGGGGTCAGAGTAAAGAACCAAAGTCCATCTGTAGACTATTGGACATTCCCTCACAGAAGGGTCACAAGGAAAGGAAGAGACAGCCAGAGTGCAGGATAGCACTGACGGAACATACAAGATTCCTCTAATTCTTTAATACTTCTTCCCCCTGACTATGATGACCCCAGTTCTAACTTACAAATCCTTCTAGATTGGAGCATATACACTGGTACAGATAAGAGCTCTTGGCACACGGAATCCAGGACAGATAAACGCCTCAGGAACAGTAATTGGAGTATCGATACCATGAGAGTAGGGGAAAAGTGGGAGGAGAAGGGGGGAAACCAACTACAATTAAGGTTGGGAAAAATAGAGGAGCTGATACTAAGGGCTCACACAGAAAGAAATTATTTGGAAAATGATGATGGCAACATATGTACAAATGTCCTTGATACCATTGATATATTGATTATTATAACTGCTCTAAGAGTCCCCAAGAAAATGATTTATCTTAAAATATTGATTTAATTAAAAATTAATATATGTCATGTTATAGTAAAAAGAACTTTTGTGTGAAAATATGGTTAGTGTGATACTGCTTAGGTATACTTTAAAGAAAAATATTTATACATATATAAATCACTTCTAATATTATCAAAAAATTAAAAATAATATTCTCTAGAGGATTTTATCATAAGGATAAATAAAGAAATGGTCAGCTTTGCTATGCTAAACTCCTTTTGTTTATTGCAAGGCAATCAGAGGAAACATGTAAGTAAGACCTCCAAACATTCTACTAGCATGAGATAATCAGAATTAACAAGTATAATATAATATTAGAATCCAAATCATTTTACTTCAGGGCTTTACTTTACATAAGTGGTTCAGGGAAGAGACAGAGGTGATATTTTGTTGGTGGGTTATAAACTCAGTCGCAATGAGTTGTATCTGCATATTTCTGTCATAAGATAGTCAGATACACCTGGGTTCAGGCGAAATTTCCTACGAAGGTTCTTGCACTTCGTGTTGTTATAACTGGCACCAAATGATGTAGGTGGGACTATGCAATTAGGATGGATGAAATAATAGTGGAGAGGATTGTCATTTCTGTGTATAAGAGAGCTATCTCAGTAGCAGGAAGACAAAGAATTCCTGAAATATCATGGAAGAAGAGCCACCATCAGAGCACCTTTAAAATATCTACGTTCAGTGGGCGTGGCAGAGGCATGCCATACCAAGATTAGAACCCAAGACAAGGAGACCAGGAGACACAGCAAAGGAGTAGCCCTGTGACTATGAGATGGTGAGGCAAAGCCCCAGGAAGATGTGAGAGGATTGCATGAAGACCAGGAAGAGAGATGAGGCTGCTGTCTCAGGAGGGGTGTTGCTGCGGAACAAGGTTTTCTGATCCTTGCTTGGGGTAACCTCTTAATAGAACTAATCAACTCCCACAATTGAGAGCATTGTCTGTGAGTTCTAAGTGGTCAGTGCATGGATTGTGCAACCGAGTAGAGAGAGAGAATGCTATAGAAAGTATGCTAGGTGTCAGAGATGGGGTAAAGGAAGATGGAGTGTGAAGGCATGTCTGATTTCTGCCTGGTGGAAACCGACCTTTGGCCTGGTGTGAAGATGTATTCTCCTCTGCCTTTGTGTAGCCAGAGGAAGTCAGATA